ATAATTTTTATATCAAATTTTATATAATAAAATAATAATACAAAAAAGTTTATTATTAGTAAAATTTTTTTATAAAAGATATATAATAAAAATTTTTATATTTATAATAAATAAATTTTAAAATTTAATAATTTAATTAAATAAGACAGAATTAAAATTTTATTTTAAAAAAATAATCTATTAATATTTATTTAATATATTAATCTTTTTGTATTGGATTATAATAAATTATATTTTATTTTTATAATTATATATTATAACTTAAAATAAATAAACTTAAAAATATATAATTTATTGTATTTTAATAAATAATTAAACTAAAAATTCTTTTATATTATAATATTACATAAAAATTATTTATATTTAAATATAATAAGTAAATTTATTAAAATACAAAAATAATTTTACAAGTTATAAAATAATTGTTTTTATTTCTTTATATTATATTAAATTATATCTAAATTTATAATTTAATTAAAAGAAAGAATATATATTATAAATTTAAATAAAATCTATATTAATTTTGATTAATTTAAAATTAAATACAGTCAGATCTCTTTATAGTCACATTTATTTATAGTTATCTTTTTTTTATAGTCATTTTTTTAAGTTTTTTAATTACTAATTAACTATAATTAAAAAATTTTATTTATAATCACATTTTTCTTTAATCATTAATTTTGCTTTTTTAACTATAGAAAGTTTTGATTATATTATAAACTCAATATAATTTTATTAATATTAATAGCTTATATAAAATATATAATTTTATTAAAAAAATTAAACTTTTATATTAATAAAAAATTTAGATATTTTAGTCAAATCAAAATAAAACTTCAATTATTTCTAAAAAATTTAATTATATTATAAGTAAAATTATAATTTTAATAATTTAATATAATATATTTTATATTAATAATTAATTTTTATAAAATTCTATTGAATTTATTTACTCAAAATTAAAAGACTCTATTTCAATATATAACACATATATGTATTTAATAAATTCAAAAAAATATAAGAAACTGATAAATTAAATTTATAATTGATAAAAAATATAAAAATTTAATATTCTGTATTTAATAGATTTTTGATTATTAATTATAAAATAAGAATAAGAAAAGCAAAATTTGCTATTATAATCTTAATATATAAATATTTTAGATTATTAATTAGATACAAAATTTATTTTATTATAACGAGTAATAGTCTAAAAAGCTTATTCAATTCTCTCTAAATGCACATTTTGGAATCATGTATTTAGAAAGTGTACATTTATAGAAATAAATTTTATAAGAATCTTATAAGCTTAAGACTGAACTAGTATATTTAGAAAGAGTGTGTTTGGTAGAGTTACTGTAATAGTAATAAGTAACAGTAATTCGTGATCATTTATTTTTTTCTTAAATAGGATAGACTTTGATTGTAAAAAACTACAGAGCCACATAAATTATCACGTGAGATTGCATAGCCCATTATTGTTATTAAAAAGCCTCTTTATTTAAAAGCCACAGAATCAATATCGTTATGATATAAAATTTTCATTATTTCGTATTGATTTTTATTTTGGAATAAAAACCAAAAAAATGGTATCGGCAAATAACCTAACAAAACTTGAAAAGATACTTCGAACTGTCACAATATCAATTTTTCTGTATTTTTTTATTTGGTATATCTTAACATCAATTTTTCAAAAATATACGGAACCGCCTCTAGTAGAGTACACCGTGCTTACAAATGGAGACACAGAAACCAGACCACCGACAATACAATTTTGTCTGCAAGATGTTAGCATGAATCCGATTTGGGGATTGAACGTGTCATTGAAAATCATAAATGCAGACAAACAATCGATTTCTTCTGATTCCTTAATGACATCGACGCCAAATACGAGTTGTGTTACTTTCCAAGGAGACAAATACTCGTCATATAAAGTAACAGAGGCTCCAACTTTTGGATTCTTTTTAGACATTTCAACAACAAATTCGACGACTGCATTGATCAATATGACAATTTATGACTCATCTGCAAATACGGATGAGATAAACTCATTTTTAATTCCCACCCCACATCTTTACATTCTACAATATACGGAAACTCGCTTCTACGGCATCGATTCTACGCTGTCCTCACCTACACGAAACTTTGACTTCTTACCATTTTTCCCACTTACACTACCGACGCCCACAAACATTACCACAATTTATATTATGCAACGTGACTCACACATCGACGTACGAACAGAATACTATCCCACTTGGAATTTCTTTGCGAATCTTGGAGGACTAACTTTTATGTTGATGTTTATTTATGGTTTGTTGTTTGGGAGTTTCAGGGTTGATCCCTGGGGATTGGTTGGAAGATTGTTGGTATTTAAAGAAGATTATGTGAGAATGGCGAAAAGGATTTACGCGAAAGGCGGGAAACGACCAGAAATACCGTTCTTAGATGATGTTGAAAAATCTTTTGAAAGGAATTCTTTTGAGGGTGAAATAAGAGTACTTCGACGACGTGTTGTAGCATTGGAGCGCGTATTAAAGGGATATGTCGTAAGAACCGATGTTGTTGAAAAAATGTATGCTGAAGGCGATGGGATCAATGAGCGACTTTTCTAATTTTGCTGTTTTTATTTTATATGAGATCATTATGATGTATATATATTATTGTTTTATACAAAATATCGATTATTTTAGCTCGCTATTTCATTGATTCTTAGCAAAAGTTGTCGAATTTTATTCAATTACATATATTAAATAATACGTGTAGATAGAAAGCAAGCATGTATATGTATACGTACATGTCATTATCTTTTTTCTTTAGTGGATGACTCCAATCTTAAATGATGTAAAAATTCTGTAATACAAATTTTACGTTGTTCATGTGATAATACAATGCATCACTTACCGTATTTTCGCGAAATAACGTGCAGATGGACTTTAATTTCGAGACAAAGGTTCGATTTAAAAATTTTCGTAGTCTAGCACTATTGTATAATAGGACTAAGCTGAATTAAAGATAGAAGTCGAATTTATAAGATCAATTATAAATACCTTGAATGAATATTTTTAAAATAATTCTAACATCACTGTATATCGATACACTTTCGCTATTAAAAAATGCAGTTTATTACTGTATATAAATCTGCTGTTACGGCGCGTTATTTCTGGACGCACATGGGCATTATTTTGAAATCATGTATGCTATTTAAAGGGTATGATTTTCGTAATAACGCCTCATGAGCGATACATGCTCGATACTTTTTTTATTTTTTGCATGTATCATTGGCAAAAGTAGTACAGTTGCATCACCCCCACTAAAAAAAAATGCAAGTGTGCGTTTAGAAAGAAAAATATATAGAACTGGGACCAGATTATACCGTGTACTTATAGAAATTTATATAGTGTTGTACTGGGGGGGGTGCGCCTGTGTTATGCATCTATATGTGCTCCTTCTATTTAACAAAAAATACATAGTCAAAAATAAATGAATATGTTCATGTATTTCGTTTCTTTCTTATAAATAGAGAACCTTTTAAATTCGCTAAAAAATAAAGCAAATATTCCAAAAGTACATACTTCAAGCATAACTAAAAATGAATCGCCATGACATAAACCGCTTTTTGACTGTAATTCTAATTTTATCCCTTTCTGTTGCAGCACCGATCCCTAAGCTGAAAAGAGATTCTGGTGCTCAAGATCCCGCTGTTGATTCATCTGATGACGTGATGATACCTGTTGTTGGAATTCGTGTGCTTACTGTTGAACTAAAAAAATAGTATCCAACAAATACGTTACTACAATCATTAAAGAAGCAGCTATTAGCTGCTGCGGCGTTTCGTAAGAAATATATCAATAATAACATTTCTAGTAGTATTCAGGTGATGTGAAAATGAAATGCTTCCGCTCGCTGGGATAAATACGCTAATGTTATGTTATCCCTTATTTCATAATCTATATATAGGGTTAAATTTTTCTTATAAAGTTCACAATTTTTTTATCACATAATTACTTTATTCTAATTTTATTACTACTTTAAAAAATTTCATTATAATCTTTTATTTCGAAGAATAAATATTTTTCTCTTTTGCAAAAGTTCATGCTTTGTGCTTTAATGACCTGCAAAACCTGTACTAAATTATGATTTATAATTTAGATGATTGCAAAATTATATATAGGATGAAAGGCGGACAATGTGTGGTTTGAAGAAAATAAACTAATAAGAATTATTTTTAATCTTACTGAAGCGCTGCTATCGTGTCATAACGAAATTGATATCTGTATTTCTTTTGCTTAACAAAATTGAAAATTTTACCTCTTTTGGCATTAAAATTTTATGCATATTATTTGATTTTGGATTGTGATTTTGTGATTTGTTTGAAATAATATTAAATTCTACCATTATGAAAGAGTGATATTGTGAAACCTTTAGAACATTAGTGATACCCGCCCTGTGCAAATCATTCTTCTAGGCCTCTACCTTTGTTACACTTAATTCTTTAATCAATCTAATTTTTAAGTTGAGAGTAACAATACAGCAGACAACGTTTCAAAGTAGTTTATCAACCTAAATCAGAATATAAAGATAAAAATGGTGCAACAACCAAAAGAAATGGCGAATATTTTTCTTGTGACGATTGTAGATTCCAAATTTATAAATTTTTATGTTTTTCAAGACAATAAAAGGCGACTTGCAGGATATGAATGAGATGAAGGATGTTGGTAACGTTGTCGACTAGCAGTTCGTCTATATACTCGTACATGTACTTGTTATGAATTTTTCTAATTAAAACATCATAAAGATCCAGAATTAGACTTTACAGGTTAAAGATTTTATTTCTATCTGCTTGAATTACATTGTCAGATACGGTTATTAACTACATATAAAGTTTTAATAATCAATTTTTTTCATCCCGCTCAATTGCGGTCTTCGCTCAAACCGCATCCTCTGACGAATTATCATTTGAAATTCATTGTTGAAATTTTTAATCTATAATTAAACATAAATTTTAGTATTTGTCTCAGATATTTTGATTGAATTTATATCCGGAAACATAAAGAATTATATAATAATTTAAAATTGGTACTTTTACGTGACGTTTTTGTGCAACTGATCTTTATGATGACCATTGTAATAAAGAATATAAGAGAAATAATGTGAAATACGCGTGAGCAATAGCACCTCTATAGTGTATGTTCCGAATGAAGGTAATTTTACATTTTATCAATTACTTTAATTTATTAATCTCATTTTTTTTCTTTGGTGATAAAAACAGATTTTGAGGCTAAGTGCTTGCAAGGAAACTTAACGTTTAACTGAGTTTACGCAATTTATCTGACTCTTATTAAATATAAAATTATATTACTATTGTAATAATACTGAGCACTTAAGATCTGGTATTACACTTAAATTTATTGTCAATATCCGTAATTATAAATGAGAATAATTGTATTTTATTTGCAAGTTGTGAGTATGAAGATACTTAGTATCAAGTACTATGCACTTATTAATCTTTATTAATGTAATTAAATTTGACAAATAATCAAACAGAACATCTATCACTTTCTTCTTCACATCATCTATTAAACAACTTGATATCTGGCTATCTTTACTCGAAGTCACTCTAGCAATTCTAATAATTACAGTTACAAATATTATTAATAAATTGGATTTAATTCTTTCCATTACTAATGCTAGTTCTCCTTTTTCTTCTATCATCTCACAATCTTAAATAAATAATAACAGTAGCAAAGACTTCTTCTTGGATAATTTGGAAGAAATCTTACAGTTCTTGATCTTATATTTGATTTTTATGCAGAATGTGCTCTTTAATATTTGTTATTCTGTCCTATGAAGTACTGAAAAAATAAATTTTAATAATTTCTTTTTAGAAGGATTGTCAATAATTATATGTATAAATAATAATTCACTTTCTGACTCTGATAATGAGATTTTAATATAGTTTTCTAGATAGATTCATAATGACAAGTTATATCTTATATTTAAATATAATTTGAATAATCTCTATTTATTATAAATTATTTATTTAATTAGATAAATTGCTATATATTAGAGATAGACTATACTGAAGCTTTTAAATAATAATAATAAAATAATTAGTTTTCTCTATTTTGTTAATACAAGTTATACTTTATAAATAAGAATAATAATAAATAATAAATATGATATATAATAAATACAAAAAAAATAAATACAAGAAATAACAAATATAAGAAATAACAAATACAAAAAATAATAATATCTACATATATTATTGGTAAATTTGATAGATATCAGATCAGTAACAATCAGTTAATATGCTGATTATCACTGATTTTTTGATTATACCAATTCAAAATCTATATAGAACTCTAAAAATAGAAATTTTGGAGAAGTATAATCCAAAAAAACTGTAATGATTAGCATAATTACAAATTATTACAGTTCTTTGGATATAAATTAAATAGATAAATAATAAATAGATCAATTATATACATTATCATTTATTTTTTTTCTTTGAAGTTTATTATAGATATAAATTTAACTTTAAAATTCTTTGTCTATTAGTTTTTTAAAACATATATTTATTTAACAAAAAAAGATTTTTTTTGTTAAATCTTGGCATAATATATATTTCTTGATCTATAAATTCTATTAGAATTATATTATACTTTTTAATATAGTATAGATAAGAATAATCATATTTTTCTGACTTATTTAACACAATATCATAGTAATAAATCATAGCAAGATTATATATATTCTTTATCAATCTTCAAAAAACTATAGAAAGAGCAATATCTTTTAGAAGAAAATGCAAAGGTTAATTCATTCAAAATTGTTAAATTTGAAATTATATTTTATTATTCTTCAAGTTATTTTATCTTTCTGTATCAAGCATCTTCATCTGATTTATAATAGCTTTGATTTTTAGCTAAAGTTATTATAATATTACTAAATTACTCTTTATCATGAAAATTTCTAGATGTTCTCAGAATTTTGTCATTTTCCAAATAAACTATATTATAAACTTTTATACAAAAGTTTTCACTTCCAGATTCTTATAATAATATATTAAGAAATATATTTAATATAGTAATTATATATGATAATTCTTCAATAAAGTTTGAATATGATGGATTTTTCTAATTCTTCAATAAAATTATTTTTGCTTTGATAGTATCCAAAGATAATTCTTATAATATCTTATTAAATTTTATAGTTTTATAATAAACTATCTTACTTATTATTAGAGCTAATTCTTTATATTTCATCTGTAAGTATAATTTAGAATTTATAATAAATTGATCATAATTGATATACTTGACTTATTATATTTACTATCTGCTACATAGTATTTTTTATTTAATGACTAATATAGGTTTTTTATATATAACTTATAAAGTATTTTGTATATTTCTGTTAAGAGACCATTCAAGATACTATATTTATGAATTATCAGAATTACATAATAGCATCAACTATATAGTTTAGGAAAACTATATTCTATAATGGATAGTGATGAAAAGATTCTCTTAAATTTAATTAACCAGTTAATAATAAGAATCTGTATTTATTTTCAAAGTCTATTATTAGTTCTTCAAAGTTTAATTGATTT